GAGACTAAGACAGCAGACAGACTCCTCCCTTGGTCCTGGACATGAATTTTACAGGCAGAACCGATTCGACGAGATATGCAGGCACCTGTATCCAAAGAGTGGATGCTGAGATATCACCCATTCTTGGTGTTCAGCAGTCTGCGCAGCCTCACGGAAGGGGTGACAAGGTGGAGCATCATCACAGAGCCGCTGAAGGAGCACAGGCGCACAAGAGGCCAGATGGGACGGCTACGACTCGGGCCCTGAGTCTCCTCCAGCACCGAGTTGAAAACCTCGGTCACATCGCACGGTTGCTCGGGCATGCGCCCAGCAGCAGCATTGCTCGGCATGGCGTCCAATACAGCAATTGATGTCAGGAAAAAGCAAGATGCACAGGCTCGCGGGGGATGCGTGTTTTCTGATCGGTATGTTTGTGCAGCCTAGTGGTTATCACAAAAGCATGCTGGAGAGCCCCCCAGACTCCATTGCCAAGCTTGCCGCTTCCCAGACTCCATTGCCACCTCCAGGGCGTTGGCGGAAAGCGAGGGCAAGGGTTTGTATACTATCTTCGTGAGTACATGACGACCCAGTCCAAGCAGGTGCAGCCATGGACGCAGCCGAAGGGTTGGACACTGTCTCAAGTTCCTACAGCACTTGGCCATCCAGTCACGCTGGCGATGTTGTGGATATGCAGAAGGAGTTCTGGGCTGACAATTGGGATAATCGTGGATCCCCTGGAAGTCTGGAAGGCATGCACAGTGAGCTACCTCTATTGCGGGATCAAGGTCCTCGTCTGCATCCTATGGGCATCCAAGTGCTCCATACGGCCACCAAACGTTTCATTTCCAAGGCTGCCGTGTGCCCTGACGTATGTAGGCCTAGTCATTGTGCTTGCGCTAGTGGTGACGCTGTATCAAAGGTCGGGCACACGTTCTACTTAAGTGGATATCAGTCTCTATGGCCAAAGTGTACGAAGTAGGTGCACGTGGTACTGCTAGCCAAACCTTCACGACGATACATGCCTGCTGCGCTGCTGGGGCCCATGTATTTTGGGCGAAAGCACGTCAAAGTAAATGTACGCACATGGGCACCACGCATTGATAGATCATGCATGACACCCGGGGTCGACAAGGGCACTACAGCTTTGGCTGCTCGGATTCTCCTTCGCAGGGAGGCACTGCCCGCGCCGCGTTCTCGAGATGATCAGGCTGTTGCGCGCTCGGTTGTGGATATTGCAACATGTTTCGACAGAGTGGTCTGGCCGAGGGTAGCGCAGGTAGGCAGGCCTCGTTCCTTTCGAGGTGCGTTGCTTCGCTTGGAGAGAAGCTGTGCGTAAAATGACTGTATCGCTCAGCGATGCGGCTTGCGAATAAAATTTGACATCGCGTTGGAGTTCTCCGGACCAGGGCTACATCGGCGTCAGAAGTCTTGTGAGTTGAAGTCGCTTCGGGACGTCGCATTCGATATCAAACTGAAAGCACGTATCCTGAAGATGAGGGCCAGACATATTCGATTCTGCTCAGCAGATTTGCGAAGCAAGCGGGGCCAGCAGCTCTCAGCTATGGAGTTTGGTTCACTGAGCTCCAACATCCCTCGCGGCGGCCATTGAAAGATCCATACGCAGCGTCTGATTCGAGCCATACGCAGCGCAAGGACCAGCTGGAATCAGTTCACTATTGTACTGCAGAGCTTCCTTGGACCCGCAAGTCTCAGCATGGGCGGGGATAAGAACTGCACTGGATGTGGGAGTTGATGTGCTGGGATGAAGACCTGCACTAGATGTTGCAGGCAGTATAGCAGAGACAAATCATGGCATTGTATCGAGATACGAAACCTTGGAGAAAAGTTGCAGGTCCTGCAGGAGCCACATTGCTGGCGCTCAGAAATATCATAAGGCTATCGGCTTCGCCCTTCTCTGGAGAATAGATCGAAGGGAGGCCACTGATCTTCGACATTGGTCACCAGTTGCATTGCGATATTTGGCCAGAAAAATACAGAGATACGTCTGTGGGAACTCTGGCTTCTGGCCTAAGAAATCTGATCTGGATCATGGTACCGTGATGGGCCCGAAGACGGCTGGCGGATATTGGGAGTAATTAACCCATTCTCAGCGAGGCGGAGGAGGAAGACAGCGAGCGGCCCATTAAACAGTACGAAGCTACCCTGATAGCTCTCATCACGGGAGGGTTATGGCCGCCGTCAAGACGGAGAGCTTGCGGGTACGCATATCACTCCACATGCTCAAAGTGCGACTGCGAGAATGCTGATGTACGTCAGATCCCTTGGGTCCGTGACCCCACGGAGAAAGCAGGCTGAGGGCTTTATACGACGAAGAGCAGCAAACCTGTTTTCCGCAGGTATCGCCGTCGCCGTGGTTCGGGTGAGAGGCCTGCTGGCCAAGGATGTCCTGCCGGCCTTGCCGCCGAGGAACGACACGCAGGTGGTTAGAGAACGTCAGTACTGCGACGCCTCGGTTGCGACAGGACATGTATTCAGCAACGGGGCTTGCAAAATATACACATAGTGGAAGGAAGCTGCCCGAGCTGGATGGGACTTCGCTCAGGTATCTATTTCAAACATATTGCTGGTGGTGTACGGTCCGCTCCCCAGACCGAAGCAGACATCGCCGATGGCAGAGCTGTTCGCCGCCATCCAATTGTTTCGGATTGCTGTCTTGGCTCCTCGCAAAATCTTACAGATGGATTGCAGCGAAGCCCGACATGGCCCACGCATCCTCGGAGACCTAACGTTAACTTGTGGTGCGAGAGTTGGCGTCGCATTGGTGACTTAGGTGGGCTCCTGGAGGACATCCAGCTTGTGTACGTGAGAGGGGTTTGCCTTGGGAGAGACACGCATGCGGTCCCAAAGGATGGCTGCCCTTGGGTCCAAGAAGCTGTTCCAGACTGCCCGCAGAGATCGCATGTGGCTCGCGAAATCCCGCACCAAGCATATGGATGATAGTGCGGTGCCTTGAGAGTCTAGGCTGTTAGCGAGAGGCAGATGACCGGGCTCAGGAAGAAGGCAGCCTCGCCACCGGATCAAACGATCACGCACGCGTTCTTTCGCTCATGGGCTCTTTGGAAATGCCCTGCGTGTTCCAAGCGTGTCAACAGCCCCCGCCAGCGCAAGATACTCGCGAAGCCTCCTTGCCCAGCGAAGCTGACGATGCGCAGCAGGCAGCGTTATGCTTTAGTTTTGGAAGGGGCTGACGGTCCAGAGGCCGCCCCTGTTTGCAGCGCCCGCGGACCGCAAGAGCACGCTGATGCCCAGACTGATGGGAGGAGCGTCGTGGGTCGGAGCCGTCGTCGTCGCAGTGGGGGGGAAGGAAGCTCTAACTTTGCCCACGCGCAGTGGGACGCAGGGAGAGAGAAGCTTGCCACCTTCTACTGTCCCACGAAATCTTCGGACCAGAGTCAGCCGGACTCGAAACCACTCGCCGTCCCCCCAGCCTCGGAGGGTCCAGGCAAGATTGCAGGCGGAGTCGGAGGATTGGCCAAGATCGGGGACCCACTGACCCGGGTCGATGCAAACCTGGATCAGTCAGGCCTTGCAGGATCCTGCAAGACCCTACAGCATCCTGCAGGATCCCGCACGCTAAGCCGGGCCAATGCAGCCCGAGCCCAGCAGGATCCTGCAAGGTCCGGCGCTCTGACTGACCCCGCTTGCACTGAACCCTGTCTCTTGAGCCCCGCACGCTAAGCCGGGCCAATGCAGCCCGAGCCCTGCAGGATCCTGCAAGGTCTGGCGATCTGACTGACCCCGCTTGCATCGAGCCCCTTTTCTCTCGTGAGCCCCAGCAAGGACTGTTCCATGTGCTTCCCGCGGGGCGGCCGCCCGCAGTGACGCCACCGACGGCGCGGAGCAGGCCAGACCCCGCGGCGCCGCGGCCGCCGCCGCTTCCTCGTCCTCATCTCCGTTTTTTACGTTGTGCAAACCTCAGGAGAGAGCCTGTGGCGTTACTGCGGGCAGTGCGAAAAGAGATCGGCCGACTAAGCGATGCGACGATCAAATTACGCCTGGTTTGCGCAGCGGCAAAAAGAACGGTCTGAAGAGATGGAAAAACACAGTGGCCCTGCAGGCTCCTCATTTCCGCCCCCTCCTCCGCCTCATCCTCCTCCTCATCCTGGGGGGGGGTCGGGGGATGGGCGAGTGGGAACCTCCTGCCAAGTCAAGGCGTCACGGTGGAACCAGAGGCGGGCAAGTGCCTGCAAGAAGTGAGCCTGAAGGTCAGTCTGACGGCGACGTCTTGCCTGCCGATGCCAGGGGCCACGAGATCTTTGTCTCTCCTGGCGTTGTGCTAACGTCTTCCTTGCTGTGGGATCTCAACGATGGGATCTCAACATGGAAAGACTCTTCCCTGAGAGGCAGAAGCCCACCACCTCCACACAGTAAGCGCGCGGCTTCGCAGATCCATTGGTTGTTGACGAACCGTCACCCTGCGGACCAGCACAGGCATGAGGGCCTCTCGTGCCAGCAAAGGTTGCGGGTTACCGACAATGGATTGCACTGGTTGCAGCTCGATTAACCTGTTCGGTGTTCCTTTGCTCGTCTAATCCTGTCACGAGCCTTCGCGCTTAAGCGCTGTCCCCGCCGCTAATGTGAGTAGGTTCCGTGGGTCAGCGCGTTGCAGGCGCTGGCGCGGGACGGTTGCCTCCTGTGTCGCCTCGGGTGGCCGTTAGCGCTTTGCGCGACGGACTCCTTCAGGCTGCGTACCCCGCCCCCCTCCACTCCCCCTCCCCCCTGCATCGTCCACGAAGGGGGAGACGGCCTCCAGCCAGCCACCCAACCCTCCTCATCTCACCACTAGAGGCCTCCCAAATGAGGTCCGAGTAGATAGGGTCGGAGGACCGCGCCGGATCGCCGATGCATCGCCAATGCATTTGCGGTGCATCGGCGACGCCAGCTCGGACAAAATGGGGCTCCACATCGAGAGGCATCGCCGATGCATCGGTGATGTAATGCGATCCTTCGACCCCATCTACTCGGACCCCATCTAAGAGGCCGACGTAGATTCCCCGAACCTCAGCAACTTCTTCAGGATCCGGTCGTTCTCGCAGGCGTAGGTGCCATAGACCTTGTTGTACGAACACATGACGGCAGCAGCACCTGCCTCGAACGCAGCCTTGAAGACTGGGGTGTAGATCTCGTGCTGGGCGCGGTCCCCGACCTTCCAAAGCAAGAAGCCGATGGGCAACAAGCGGCCATATGTCCTTTGCCTTCCTTCTCCTCCTTCTCCCGTGTTCCTCCTCCAGCTGTTCCTTCTCTTCCAGCTGCTACTGCTGCTCCTCGTCCTCATTCCCTTCCCGAGCCCCCTCGTTGCTCACAGCACCGCGTACCCACTGCATCATCTTGGAACCCGTGAGACCTCCACGCTCATGGTCATGCGCATGACCTGTCTGGGGGTCAGCGACGGATCAACGCCAGCATCCGATACGGTTTCTGCTCCTGTTCTTCCTCCTGCTCCTCCGCGTCCTCCCTCCTCCTCCTCCTCCTCTTCCTCCTCCTCCTCCTCTTCCTCCTCCGCCTCCTCCTCCGCTTGTCGTCAACGTCGTCGGCGCCATCACCATCATCATCATAATCATCATCATCATCATCATCATCATCATCATCATCATCATCATCATCATCATCATCGTCATCATCAACAGCATCATCATCATCATCGCCATCATGATCCTCATCCTCAGCATGCTCAGCAGCGTAATCCTTATCAGGACCATCAGCAATATCATCATCAACATCATCAGCAGCTGCAGCCTCATGATGACCATCATCATCAGCAGCATCCTGAGCATGGTCAGCGGCTGTAGCATCATCACCATCAGCAGCATCAGCATCAGCATCATCATTATCAACATCATCATCGCCGTCGTCAACACAATCAGCATCATCCAGATCATCATCAACAGCAGCAGCGTCAGCATCAACACCATAATCGTCATTATCATCAGCAGCATGATCAACACCATGCTCATCAGCATGAGCATCATCATCAGCGTCATCATCAGCAGCATCACCATCATCAGCAGCTTCACCGTCGCCAAAAGAGTTATCATCAGCATCGTCAGCCTCATCATCGTCATCGTCATCGTCATCATCCGCCTCATCATCAGCATCACATAATCACCAGCAACATCATTATTAGCATTGCCATTATACTCGTCATCATCATCACAAAATGCATCACCATCGGCATCATCACCGTCGTCAACAACATCGACGCGATCATCATCATCATCATCATCATCATCATCATCATCATCATCATCATCATAATCATCATCATCGTCATCATCGCCATCACGATAATCACAATCAGCATCGTCATCACCATCGTCATCACCATCGTCATGATCAGCACAAGCATCATCATCATGACCATCAGCAACATCATCATCAACGGCATCGGCAGTATCATCATCATCACCCTCATCATCACAACCCCCATCGTCAGCAGCTTCATCGTCATCAGCATCGTGAGCAGCATCATCACAACCAACATTATCAGCATTACCGATATCAGCATCGTAAATGAAATCATCCTCCTCCTGCTCATCATCATCATCGTCATGAGCACCACTATCATGATCAGTGTCATCAGCGTCGTAATCATCAACATCATCATACTCATCATCATCAGCATCATCATCAGCAGCAGCATCACCATCGCCATCAGTACCATCATCATGAACAGCATCATCGTTATCAGACTCATCAGAGTCATCATCATCCTGATCAGCATCAGCATCATCATCGAAACCACCCTGGTCAGCATCATCATCAGTATCATCAGTACCATCACCATCATCACCATCGTCATCAGCCTCAGCATCAGTCATGACCAGCAGCAACCTCATCACAATCGTCCTCGTCATCAGCATGATGATCATCGCCATCGCCACCATAATCATCATCACCAGCAGCATCAGCATCGTCATCATTTCACAATCGCCATGATCACACTCATCATCGTCATCGTCATGGTCACTAGCGTCAGCAAGTTCATCACAAGCCTCATCAGCAACAGCATCAGCATCGTCATCAACGACATCATCTCAGCAGCATCATCGTCAGCCCCATGATCATCATCATCAAGAATTGCGATCGTTACCATCACCATCAGCATCATCCCCCTCGCCATCAGCAGCAGCAGCACCACCAGCATACCCATCGTCATCAACATCACCACCGTCATCATCATCGCCATGACACGAATCATCCTCAGCATCATCGTCAGCATCATCATCAGCAGCATCAGCATCGCCAGCATCGCCAACATCACCATTATCATCAGCATCTCCATCATAATTGTGTTCCCCATTGTCACCACCATCATCAGCATCATTACCATAACCTGCATGATCATCATCATCATCATCGCCAGCATCATAAGCATCATCAGAAGCATCATCCACATCATCATCTTCATCTTCTTCATCAGCATTATCATCATCGGTATCAGCATCACCATCTCCACCATCCCCCCACCAAAAGCATTCTCACCATTTGCATCACGATCTCCATCTCAATCATCATCAGCATCCCCATCATCGTCATCATCATCACTACCACCATTAGCAGCGTCGTAATCATCATCATCACATGACCATTACCATCATCATCCTCATCATCACGATCGCCATCGTCATCTGCATCATCATCATCATCATCATCATCATCATCACCACCACCACCACCACCACCATGATCATCAGCATCATCAGCATCATCATCATCCACATCATCATAGAATCGCCGTCGTTGTCGTAGTCACCCTTCTAGTGCGCCTCCTACTCCTCGTCCCTATGTCCCTCCTCCGCCTCTTCCCCCTCCCTGGCCCATCCTCCTCATCCCAAGTCGCATCATCCCCGTCCTCCTTTCAGAGGTTCCCCTCACATAGGACGTAAACCCTGAGCCCAGGCCCCCTTCTCCTGTGGCCGCGCTCCAACGAGGACCCCCTTGGACCCTAACCCCAAATTCCCAAGCACCTCGGTGTGCATCTACCCACCCACTGCGTGTCCTTGACGCCGCCCACGAAGGACAGGGGCATCTCTGAGATGCTTCAGCAGGTAGCCCGAGTGGTTCGCCAATGCAGCCCTGGGCTGCCCCCCACATGAGGACTCGCGCTTCAAAGATAAACCGTCCCCTGATACGCAACGAAGAATACACTCGTAAACCTGGTGGTTCGAAGCTGCGTACACCTCCTATGTTGGCTTGTGTAACGAAGCCCTTGCATCTCCTTGAAAACTGCCCCAGGACGCTTCGGGCGCGCCTGGAAACACCTGGAAACGCGTGGGAACGCCTGGGGGCGCCTGGGAGCGCCTGGAAGCGCCGAAGATAGGGCGCAAACAAACCTACCTCGCTTTTGAGCACCCTCGCTTCCAAGAGATACCAAGCGACGCCAAACTACGGCCTGCGCTGGTCAGGCCGCTTGACGAGGAGGCGCGTGGTATGACTTGGTTTTGCCTGGAAGCGAAAGCAGGGGAGGTAATTCACGCTCTGAAAGGAGCGTCCCGGAACGCCAGGGCGTGCTTGGGAGCGCTGGGGAGCGCCTGGGAGCGCCTGGGAGCGCCTGGAAGCGCCGGGAAGCGCCTGGGAGCGCTGGAAGCGCCTCCGAGCGCCTGGGTTCGCCTGGGAGCGCCTGGGAGCGCCTGGGAATGCTTGGGAGCCCGGGGGCACTGGGAGCGCTTGGGAGCGCGTAAAAACTCCTGGGGGCGCCTGGGAGCGCCTGAGAGCCGGAGGGCGCTTGGAAGCGCCGGGGAGCGCTGGGGAGCGCTTCGATGCGCCTGGGGGCGCCTGGCAACGCTTGGGAGCGCCTGGGGGGTGCGCCTGGGAGCGCATGGGAACGCATGGGAGCGCTTGGGAGCGCCTGGGAGCGACTGGGAGCGCCTGGGAACGCATGACAGCGCCTGGAAGCGCCTGGGGGCGCGTGCGTGGGCATTTAGCCCCGAAGGTTCAGCGCCCGGCGCCCGCGCGCCACCGCAGAATCCTTCCCGCTGCCCATTGGGAATTTAGGAGCCAGCGGCCCTAAACCTTAAAAGGCTTTAGTTTGGGAGGTCGCCGGCCATGCGGCCGGGGGTAGGAAGTTGTTGCAGCTCTTGCGTCGTCAACAGGTTTGATCGGGTCGGCTAAACGCCCCCCAATCAAGCCTGCCGAAGGGGGGGCAGCCTTGCCCTGACTGTCGGCCGCTGCGCGCCCGAGAAACCCTCAACCCTAAACACTGAACCCTGAGACCCCCAATCCTCCTCTCAGGAATTCAGCCCCGAGCCCGGGCCCCCGTTCTCCTGCGGGCGGGGAGACGTCAGTATCTCTCGCCCCCGCCTCCTTGGTCTGGCCAGGGCCCCCCCCCGTCAGTCCCTGGCTCTGTGGTGATGGCGGAGGGCGGCGGGGCTGGCGTAGGCGCCTCACCGCGCCTCGCCTCTGGGAGCAGCTCCCTGCGCGAGCGCACCCCTCTTTGTTCGCACGGCCCCTTGGCCGCGCGCTGCCGAGACGCAGGTCTTGGGACTGCGCGGTCCCCCGTTCTCCGGTGGCCGCGCTCCCAGCGAGGACCCCCCGTGGAGGCGCCACCACTGCCGGCCGGCGCCCAGGCTGGGGCCGAGCCCGCTCGCCTGCGCTCGGACCTCCACGGCCATCTGTTGACCGGCTTGGCGCGAACCTTGTCGCCAGGGCTGGACCTAAACGCTGCTTTTCGTTTCGTGTTCGTTTTGTGCTTCGCTTTGCTCTGCCTGTTCTCCTGCACCTCCCTCCCGAAACGAAAAACAAGACACGGCCGAAGTCCAACAGAACCGCGTTTCGGTCCCGCCCTGCTTGCCACCGGAGGATACTGGACCAGGGCTTGCACAGACGGGGCAGGATTGTGTGCGTCGGCGCTTTGTTCAAGGTAGGAACAAGGAAAGGTGACACCAACACCACCAGGGCGAGGAGATGCGAGGAGGCAAGGGGGGCCTCCCTGGTGGTGTGGCCCCCCCATCGCTCGAGACATCCCCAGCCTCCAGCTCGGAAGGCATCGTGGACCTCCTCGCTGGAACCTCCGATCAAGGGGCACATAACGCTCCTGAAGACGTGCTGCACCGAGTTCGCTCTGGCGGGCCACCCAAGGCGCCAAGGCCTACGGCGCTGGTCCCCTCGGCGCTGGCCCAGCGGGAAGCGGGGATCTGCTTCTCGCCGGGGTGCCCGATCCCGAGCAACCCATCTTCACCTTGCGCCGCGCAGGCGTGGGCGTCACGATTCACAATGGGGGCTGGGCGACCCCAATCCCCGATTTTCCGCGGCGCTCTTGGCTGAACAGCAGGTGTGTGTGTGTGAGTGTGACCAACTCGGGGATTTACGATAACGGGCGTCCATCCACGAGAGGGGTGCGTCTGAATAGCCCCCCAGGGGTGGATCACAGAATTGGCCTTGCTTTCTGAGCGGCCGAGTTGTTTGGGGGGCTCGGAGATTGGAGGCGAGAAATCACCTGCCAGCGTGGGCGTCGCAATATTGACCGACGCGGAGCATTTGCAGGTCAAGCCTCCGGAGGCGGGTCCTCTGGCAGGCCAGGCACAATCGGCTGCTCGAAGAGAGCTGCAGGGCCCTTGAACTCGCGGCTCAGGGCTCTCGAGGTCCTGTGTCTACTTCGCCGACTGTAACGCCGTGTGTGGTGGCTGGCACCAGGAAGCTGGAACCGCATGCGTTTGGATCCACATGTGGAACATCCAGAGGCCACGCGCTGGACACAACCGCAGAAGTCTGGCGTGCCCGGCCACAGAAGCGTCGAGCGCTGAAAAGATCTGCTGCTACATGCGCTGCACATGAGCACCTAGCTCTCACCCAGGCTGGCCCGTCATGTGTATCCAGCTTCCTGCCATGATCAGCTGCATCAAGGCTGCAGCAGGAGTGAACTCAACAATTTGTGGACTGAAGTTGGCATCCATTTGTGCGAGGGCGCGTGGTGTTTAAGGTACCGTTTCATATCGCACCGCAGGAAGCTGCAGAACGTGAGATAGGTTCGTGGCTTACGCGTGACAAGCTCATTACGGGTGTGCTGTCCCAAGGCGGAGCCGAGAGAGGCATAGTGCCCCTGACGCACAGGGCGGCACTGCTTGTTGAACGCCGCGCGGGCTTTCTCCGCAGGAGACTGTCGCGTGACAAGACCGCCGATCGTGAGTTCTGACTCGGGCTCCTTTGATCGGTGGCGTGCTGCTACTGCCTCCCTCCCTCCTCCGCCGCTGACGCCCCGCGCCGCTGTTGCACTTTTAACACGTCTCACACATTACTTGAGTGGGGGGCTCAGTGCACGAGCTGTCAGTAGGGATACGCGAATCACCCTGAGAGTGGCTGACCTCGCCATGCTACTCATTCGGAAGCGCCGAATCGTATGTTTCACGTAGACATAAAGAGGCGCATGATTCTCACTTCAATGCACCATCATGCCCTCCAGGTCTGGTTATGTGGGCCTGGCGAGTATTACGTATCAGCGAACCTACAAACGGAGTTCGGACTAGAGCGCATGATAACCCGAAGCGACATCATGAAGGGGTAGCTGGATCGCATTCCGAGAGGAGCTGTTCCCAAAGTTTCAAGTGCGGCCAAACAGTCTGCATACCTGAATACTGTTTGGTTTGAGCATTGCCCCCGTCGCGTAGCCATCATGTTTACTCTCACTCCTGTTTCTAGTCCTCCTCCTCCTGCCCCTCCACGTCCTCCACCTCCTCCACCTCCTCCATTCCTTAGTCTTGTGAATAACTTCTCCCTGTCGCAACCCGAGGCCTGTTGTTAGGGCGGGCCGGGCGTTTCGCCTGAGACATCCCCACCAATGATGACCCTGAAGACTCAAGCTTGACAACGGCTTCATAAATCGAGGGCGGGTGGTTTTCAACATGTGTCTCTCGCCTTAGCGCCGCGCACATTCGTTTCAAGAAATCACCAGAGCTTTACGGATTGAGGGCGGGTCGTTTTCATCATGTGGCTCTCGCCTTAGCGTCGCGCACACGCGTGGAAAAATGTCAAAGCTTCGCAAGTAGAGGGCGGGTGGTTTTCAACATGTGGCTCTCGTTTTAGCGCCGCGCACAGTCCCTTTCACACTTTGCAAGTGCTTCGCGGCTTGAGGTCGGTTCCTTTTCAGAACGTGGCTCTCGCATTAGCGCCGCGCACATTCGTTTTAAAAAGTTACACAAGGTTTCAGGGATTCTCATGATCAGCATTCCCAAAGTTGTGTTCTTGGAAGGACTCAGGATTATGAGGGCGCAACAGTTACGTTGATTCGCTGTGTTGAAAACTCAGGAATGGTGTTATGGCGCGGTTCAAGATCGTCAAGGCGCAACAGTCAGGTTGATCCGTGGCGTTGGTATACCGAAAAGATTGTTTTGGCATGATTCTGGGTCTTCGAACGGTTCTCTTCCAACGAGGCAATTCCCTCAGTGGAAATGAACCTTTGTAGGGGCCTGTGGAGAGGGAGCCTGGAGGGAGGGTTTATTCCACTCTTGGGTTTCCACTCCTCCTCCTCCTCCTCCTCCTCCTCCTCCTCCTCCTCATCCTCATCATCATCATCATCATCATCATCATCATCATCATCCTGCTCATCCTCCTTCCCTCGTCCTTATGGATCACTCCCTGCCGCACCCCGAGGCCAGTCGGAAGGGCGGGCCGGGCGTCTCGCCTGAGGCCTCCTTACCACGGATGAGCCTGAAGCTTACAAACTGACAACAGCTTTACAGATGGAGGGCGGGTGGCTTTCAAAATGTGGCTTTCGCCCCAGCGCAACGCACATCCGACTTAAAAATTGCAAGAGCTTCACGAATTGAGGGCGGGTCGCTTTCAAAATGTGGTTCTCGCCTTAGCGCCGCGCACGTTCGTTTTGAAAATGCGAATGTTTCACGGATTGAGGGCGGCTCATACTCAAAATCGCCTGCGCGCCGCGCATGCGTGTTAAATATTTGCAAGAGCTTCACGGATTGACGGCGGCTCGTTTTCAAAATGTGGGTCTCGCCGTAGCACCGCGCACATTTGTTCAAACAAACAAACAAACAAACAAACAAACAAACAAGGGCTTCACTGATGCTCATCGATAAAATATCACGAATGGTATTGTGGAACGACTCAGGACTGCCAACGCGCAACAGTTCCGTTCATTCGGGGTGTTGGGGCTCCAGGAATGGTGTGCTGACACGATTCTAGATCGTCACAACGCAACAGTCAAGTCCATTCGTGGCGTTGGAGTCCGGAGAATGCTGCTTTGGCACGCTTCAGGATCTTCAAACGGTCGCCGACGAGGCATTCCCCTCAGCGGAAATGAATCCTTGTAAGGGGTCTATCAAGAGGGAGCTTGGGGGGAGGGTTTACTCTTACATCATTGAGGAGTCTTGGGTTCACGTTGGTCATCCTCCACCTCCTCATCCTCATCCTCATCCTCATCCTCATGATCATCATCACTATCATTATGATGGTCATGATCATCAGCAGCAGCATAATCAGCATCATCAGCAGCAGTATCATCATCATCACCAGCGTCCTCATCATCAGCAGCAGCAGCATTAGCATAATCAACATCATCATCAGCAGCATCATCATCACCACAATCATCATAATCACCATCAGCATCATCAGCATCTTCATTCAGCATCATCAACATCGTCATCAGCATCAGCATCATCATCCTCATCCTCATCCTCATCCTCGTCCTCGTCCTCGTCGTCCTCCTCCTCCTCCTGCCCCCCTGGAAATATGACACAAGCATGCGAGCGAGTCGCAGCATGCTGCGCCAGCCACGCCCAGGCCAACAGCGGACTACTGTTCCTCGTAAAGGGGCTCGCGAGCTGCCCGACATGCATGCATGGCATCTGCGCAGAATAACCCATCCAGGGCCCTGGGCTCCCCCCGTCCATCCCTCCCCTTCTCCCCTCTTCTCCCCCATCCGCTCCCCTGCGATGTCGCATCCCATCCGCTTCCCCTCCAGGCCCCTCACTCTTCTCCTCCCCTCCCTTCGTTACCCACACACCCCCCCCCTCCCCCTGCACGGGGCCAGTGCGGCCTCCTGGTTGTTATTCAGCCAGTGCTTGACCGTGGCGATGATCCCCTTGCCCTGCACCGCCTCTACGAAGGGCTTGACGAGCTGACTGCCCAGGTATGGATCCTCACCAGAGAGTGTCTCAAAGCTCCGCCCCGCCACGGCCACGCGGAGCACCTCAACGTCAGGACCCAGCAGCACGTTTGCGCCCTTGCCGACGAACTCCTCCGCGATGGCGTTGGCGTATCGCCGGGAGGCCTCTGGGTCGAAGGTGGCTGCGACGGCCAGCAGGCAGGGGAACTGCGTGGTGGTGCCCTGATTGGCCTCCTCGGTGTACGGGTTGAAACCCTACAGGGGGCGAAGAGGACAGCGGCAGCGCGCTCGAATCATCGCACGGGAGCAGTTACTGAGAGTTTCGTTGCTAGTGGACGCGTTGCTCGTGCTCAACCCGTTTGAACTTCTCTTGGCCCGGCGAAGGCGTGGTCCTAGACAAAACTGATTGAGTCTCGCTAGGGCAACCTTGTCCCAGGATCAGGGCCCTAGCCATTGCACCCCAAACTGGGAAGCCCTCATGCAAGCTCGTCCGCACGACTCGTGGCCGTATCGCAGCCGTGCCCAGCCGGGTCGAAGCCTGCGGCTCCTCAGTTCGTTAGGGGGCCACATGCAAACCCTACCCCTACACCCCACGATTTCTGAGGGGGAGGGTGGGGCTCTCCTCGCTCGGGAGCTCCCGAACGAAGTGAACCCCACCCTCCCCTCAGAAATCGTGGGGGGGTGGGGTAGGGTTCGCATGTGGCCCCCTGCTCGTGTGTGCACGTGCGTGTATGTGCGCGCGTGCTTTCAAACTCTGGCAGCTGCCCAGGCCTGCGGCCCGTCGTTCATGCGCAGGGGCACGGACCCCGGGATGCCATCGGAGGCCACGTACCCGGCGTAGCCGCTCTCGGTCTGCCGCCCGTGCAGCAGGGCCAGCTTGTCGTCCATGGAGATCTCGCCGAGGAGCTTCTGCGCCCTCTC